GGAAGGTGGGCTGTCAATGACTCACGGATACGTTAAGTCTGATTGTCTTATTAAGTCACGTTTTGGGTCATTCATGGAAATGTGTGCACTTTATATGGATTGCTTCCCCCGTGCAAGAATATGTTTTATCCATTTAAAATAAGCTGATCAAGTTTCGACGTGTAGATTCGCAGAGCCTTAATTTGTCTCCCCGTCTTCCATTGCATCACTTTACGTGGTATGTTGAAAGGGTGTATTTCTTCGTGCTATGAGTTGCTTAGTTGTTTCTTGTATCACCGAGTCTTTTAAAGTCATGTAGTCATGTGGTTGAGCTTTTATTGTCCTAATGACGACGTAAATATTCCCCATAGAATGGTACCAGTGGTGCTGGAAATACTATTCGTTGTGACTTTAATCATTGCCTTGATTTGTGGAATCTGGTCACTCACTAATTGAGGAGCTCTCTCTAAACAACGGTATGCATCGAGCGGTTTTTGTGTGCATCTCAAATGCAACTTATTGTTGACGTTGAAAGCGTTAATAGTAGTTGGAACCTTGAAACCCTTTGACATCTCCGTGGACTGGACTCGCAGCTGGTTTTTGCAGTTTTGAAATCGTTGTGACTCGCCACAAGGCATAATTTGTGCGAATACTTTTGCCGAATAGTTGCAAGACCAAACAGGTAACCTTCCAGGTAGCTTATTGGTCCATTAACACTCACAAAATGTGCCTCTCTTTTGACTGACCTACCATTGCAGCAGTTTGAGGTGTGTTATTCTGGCGTCAAGTATATGTGACACACATTCTTCCCACGAAATTTCCTCCAGAACCTTTTGCGGCGCCCTTTAGCACATCCATTCAAACTAATTGACTTGATAAACAAAACTTGATAGAATAGTGGAAGCGGAGTGTTAGTGACGAAAGAATAAAGGTAGGCATTTGACCTTGAGTCAGGTTAGTGACTAGTTTTTTGACTACCATGGGCACAGTTGAGTAGATATAACGAAATTCGTTTGCAGGCTTGCAAATTGCACACGAATGTGAGTGTTGAAGGGTTGCAATGGGACCTTTTCCTGTTTGATATTGGTTTGATTGAGCAGGTCTCATTGACGTCGCTCCGAATGTCTGTTGACCTTGAATTAGGCTTATGAGTCATTGCCGACCTCTGTTGACACAATTGAGTAGATTTAACTAAACTTTTCATGCCGGTAAATTGCACTTGCATTTGAAATTTGAAGCATCGTTTTGCGGCCGTATTCTGATCACTTTTGGCTTGACTTAGCAAATCGGATTGACGTCCTTGCGAATGACCGTTGACCTTGAGTAAGGCTAGTGAGTATTTTCCTGACGACCATGGGCACAGTTGAGTAGATTTAACGGAACTCGTTTGCATGCTGCAAAATTGCACTTGAATAGGAGATTCAAAGTGTTGTATTGTAGCCTAGTATTGGTCAG